TACCTACATTAATCAGTGCAAGAACTAATTTGGTATAAATATTAAATTCAGCAATGAACATCAGCATCGATCAATGCGGAGGCTGATGTGGAAGCGGATATTTTAATTTGTGTGGACTATCATTGGATGCGGATACTGATTTCGCAACAACCCTAGAACCAACTTTTAACATTAACGCTTATTTATGGTATTTTAAGTAGAAAAAACTGTTTTTTTAATTATTCATCACATGATAGTTATTATTAAATTATCGAGAGTATTTGTTTCTTATCTGGAATGTTGAGAATTTTATCTCATGGCTTCATTTTCTGCCAACAGAGATCAGTTTAGGATGAACAATCAATTGAGTTTTTATTTTTTACATTTTTATATCATTTGGATTCTTCTGTTAAAAGGTAAAATCGACATTTGTACAGTTAATAGAAGCGGAATAAGGTCAACTACATGGGTAAAGGCGCCTGTGGAGCGATTGCGTCTTATCAAAATTACCAACATTGATTTTCTTGGGCAAACTACTCATATATACTGTCTTGTATTGTGGAAGAGCCACCAATTACCCTACTTTTTTTAAATATTTCAAGTAACGGGATTAAAAAGTCATACGCCTGGTGGTAAGCGACACGCCTATCCAAAACAGTTGCTGTGCGAATAAGAGCTTTAAATTGCAAAGATCTGAGGGGCACTGCACTGCGCCCATCACCATGAGACATAAAATTAACAACTTCCAGGTGCCTGTAGTTTCACCAGCACCCATACCCTTTAAAACCGGAACGCAATCATACTCACATTACTGCTTGGCAGAAACAGGTATGGTAGCTGTACTTCTCTGGACGTAGTGCTGAGGAGACTACAGACTCCTCTGTAAGACCATGCTATAGCGGGCGTTTAAGTCGAGAGCTATGTCCGAACATTGTCACAGGACACTGCTACGTCTAGTCCGGAGAACTAGGAGAGGATATGACGCAAAGAAATGGCGCATTTCGTCCCAATCTGCTAACTTGTATCGCCACACCCGTCTCATACCACTAGGGCCCTGATCGGGTGGGGAGTGTACGGATACAGTTTTCACCAGACAAAGGTCGGTAGTACCCAGTGGGGCCTCCACAACCACAGAGTAGCGGTCTGGATCAGTTGTTGACAGAAGGTCCAAGTAATTAGCTGTATGAGACTCAATATCTGGGATCTTGGTGGCGCCACTGACAAGCTGGGAAAGGCTTAGCGTTAACGCAAGTTTACACGTCTCTCCCCCAGCGTGATCGGTCATCTGGTATGGGAACAACTATTCTTGATGGTGAGCGTTGAAGTCCCCCAGAATTATTAGTTGCGCCACTGGGTACCTGAGCTGAGTCTCATCAGACGTTGGAACAACTTGGTCGTCTCCTAATCTCCACTGTGCGAGCGGTAGATACAACAGTACACTATTTTTGTAACTCCTGTGTCAACCAGAAGCCATAAAATAGAAAAACTCGGTGCCTCAAGGTTCCTGAGACGCTTGACACAGTTGTCATTGCGAACGTACACACAGACTATTTATTTTATATTATCGAACTGATATTTTTCTTAGGGAGTCACCATACTTATCGACATGGTTTCGGCTTGAGCCAGTTAAAGGAGCTTATGTCCTTGCTAAAGTGAAAAAGATGTGCGTTTGTTACCGCATAGACCGCGGCGCGAAAACACGTCTTTTTCGCTCGTATTACATGAATGTAAAGCTTTTTTTGACTAGCGTAACAGGGTTCAACGTCGACTCCTTAATTTAACTCGACATTACAATAATTTATTTATTTCCATATTGCACATGTACAATAAAAAAAGGCTTATAATCAAATTTTGTATGGTACATGTCCCAGTCAGGGTTAATAATAATTACTCCTTTACACTTATCAAACGTGGTTCTAGTGGGCACACATTTTAGAATAAAATTGACACCTGGTTGCAATGTACTATTTATACAAGTAAGGTACCAGATGGTGTGGTTATGATATGTTATGTAGTTTTTGTACTCACAGGTGTTAAAAGATCCATTGATGAATCATTCATGTTAATTAAAATGTAGATTGCCATAACTAGAACTAGAGTTCTAAAGATGTACTAATAAATCGAAGACATGAATGACAATTGACTAGTGAACATGCATCAGATGTATAGGGATTTAAAAAAATGTGTCTTGTTATTATTAATACAAAAATCACAAAGAAAAATTTTATTCAACCCGATGGGACTTGAACCCACAACCATACTGCACCATATTGCACTTAGAGCTACGGCTCAAGTTATCAAGTTGTCGAAATTCTCCATGTGTTTTTGTTAAACATCTTTGTATTGTATTTTTTGGCATTCTGACAGTAGAGGGTATTGCTCTGTTGGCAAGTCAATAATCATAATAAAAACTAGTGGAATTATTTCATAAAAAAGCTCAATAATACAATGTGTCTTGTGTTTGGATAGTAAAGAATAAAGAATTTTTATACTGTTTTGTTATTATTAATGGTCGGAATAAGGTGTTCCAAACAAGTAGATAAATGTCTACACATATATATAAGGAGTGACATAGAGTGGTTATTTCCACTAATATGAATTAATTACTTTTTCGAAATCCGAATTTGAGGAAATAGCTAAGTAAAAAAAAAACTATACACCTAAAAAGCTGAAGTTGGATTTTAAAGTAATTCAAGCGGCGCCATTTAAAAAAATATAGTAGATAACTAACCTTTTACCAAAGTAAACAATTTTTTAATTAACTACAAGCAACTGTTTACTGTGTACTGTTTTAACTAATTATGGATATTGTAGAAAAAAGTAATTAAATAATATTTATTATTTATTATATTATCCATGTCATATGTAGACATTTATCTATTTATTTAGAACACTTGATACCAACCATTGGTTAATATCAATCAAAATCCTATATTATTATTAGTGCACAATATTCATGGTTTGTCACTAACCGGCAATTGATATATTGACCGTCAGTAATTACATTCCAAATAAATGGCAATAATGTGTATAACTGCAGGATGTCCTTAGCTTCACTTATTTTTACCTCATTCGGGTATTTAGTGTGGCCATTAGAGCGCAAGATTGGCTTAGGAGGTGCAAAGACATATTATCTGCTTCAAGGACCCATAGCTGGGAGTTGGATGTGTGCTTATTCAAACCAATGTCCCGTGACAGCCCTCGAAAGTATTCAGAAGCTAATTCTAAAAATGTTTTGGACACTCTAATTAAAGTTTTATCAAAACATTAGTCCTTACAATTCTAATAATTTAATTTACAAAATGAAAGATTGTATACATAAGTACATTGACTTGTCCAGTCAAAAATAAAATGATCTGAACACTTAAAAAAAAATACATCCAAAGTATTATCTATACATATCCATTTTATCTATACATTCAGAATTTTATCTATATGTACATTTATTCACAAAAGTCAACTAAGGTAAGATTGAAACCTGAAAAGTGAAAACAAATAACTGCCTCATGAATTTAAAGCACTCTGAACATATCGCACTGCTATTACAATAGTGTTATAACTCGAAATATGTGAAAATCAAGATTATATCATTGTTGAACGTAAAATTTGATTCTCTACACATCAATAAAACCGTTGTTAGAATATTGTAAAAAACAACTAAAATCATCTATTTAACTCCAAATGAGACACGCTTTATGTGAGCTGGTTCTGGCCAAAATAGTCCTTATTCAAAAACAAGAAATTATTTTTTCTCTTTTATTTTTAATTATATATATTTGGTAAGTAGGAAATAAATAACCTATACATAAATTTATACAGATATTTCACGGGAAGTGAGTAATTCGTAATTCGTTTTTCGTCAATTCTGAGGAAATACACTTTTTGAGTTAATACACCATTGTATTAACAGTGCAATATTATAGATACAGTAAATTTTATATTTTAATGTTTAGATATAAGTATATACTTGTATTACTTCCCACCTACTGTAACATTGTGGAAATCTATAAAATGGTCAAAAATCTTCTTACAAATGTAGTTATGGCAATATCTTTGACTAATTTATTAAAGAAATAAGGAAATAGCAGTGGTTTTAAATGTCATATGTCTCATAACTTGCAACACCAAACCACATTCATTCAAATATAGATACTTCTAATGGTTGCTTTGATGATTTTATACAGTAAAAAGTATGAATTAGTATGATTAACAAATGTATGAGTGTTTGCGCGGTATCTAAGATCTGTAATATGGTATAATTCACTACTAATTAATAATATCCTCCCATTACGGTATCAAATTCTACATCTCAATAACAGAACAATGTTTTAATCAGACTATATGTCAATGATGATGAAACTGTGTGAAAGGTGAACTATGGCTTAACCAACCCCACTGATTGAATAAATACGAGTTGACATGATGAGTGAGTACCTCAACTATAATAGAAACCAGCATTCTAGCAGCTAAATTTGTAATATTTCTAAATGTAACTAACTCGTCAACTTATAAAACAATGCAGTAGTAGGGAGACTGAAATATAGAAAATACATCAGTAATTTTAATCATTTACATAGTATCCAACAGCAACTGATGAACATAACACCTCATAATGAAGATTGTAATAATTGCATTGAATTTAATGTGTAATACACAGAGCATAGATACTGTAATTGTATATAATGCAATGCAATAAACCACTTGTTACAACATTATAATCTTAGAAAATTTTATACGCCTATTGGATTATCATTACCTAACTCAGCCTTTGGGTGTGTTCTTTGACCAAGCTTCAAATAAAGATCTGGGTATAAGGACTCCTGGACATGTGATTCTAATTTCTTTTATCCCTTGAAACACTTTAAAATGGGCATCAGTTGTTTAACTAAGCTGTAATATAGGAAATTATCTACTATATATGTTGTCTTTATGGCAATAGTACAGGGACTTGTTGCCCAAGGTTATGCCTGATTACCTTCATAAACTAAGTGTTATAATACTAAAAATGCATAAGTACTTACCGAGCAGGAGCAATTTGAGTTCTCTTCTTGCATCTCGTTTGTCTTTCCGGAGTTGCCGCTCTATCTCTTGGTTGATTCTTTTCTGTTCTTTGGCTTCTTCTGACATGCAGCACTCCATGTTTCCTTAGAGCGGAGGGCCGCAATCCGTCCTCACGCGCGGAGCCCTGTCCCTTCGGCAGGCCTTTCAACCGAGGCACACCACTCCTAAAAACCACATATCATTTACACGCACTGTATCACGGCGGCGGCGCCCAAAGCCACAGCTTAACACCACGATCGCTCACTATATCACGTACCGATCCGTCGACGCGCGAACAATCATCCGAACTATAAACTATCAAATACTAAAACCGACAATCCGGTCACTGGGTGTGGTGACTTATGTTCGGTCATATACATATACGCTCCTGTCAACTGCCGACATAAACACTTCGAAATCCGTTTATATACGAGCGTGGAACCTTGTGAAGCGATCGCATAATCTTGTTAATGTAACTAGATTCAAGAAACCTATGGCTATTCCCCACACGTGTGTATTAATAAGATTAAAACTGTGAGCAAATAGCGGATTGATGATACCTAGGTAATCTACTGATAACTAGAACAGCCCATGTCTAGGTTACGATGGGATTTCCCGGGGCTCACTGCATGTTAACAGACGCTCCGTATACGCCTTTTCTTCCGAGTTACGTACCCGAATGTATATCCATAGGGCACGATCAAATGTTCCACTTCAATTTATTGCACTAACCACGATAATCACTCAAGTCATACAACGTCCGCCTCTCTCAATATGGCGCTGGGAGATTTTGGGCGATGGATGTTCTGCGCGTGCGTTGTGCGAGTATTAGCAAGTAAAAAAATAGCGGACTGATATTCAATTGAGCATTGTGAAAATGATTAAAATATTATTAATAAATCAATATTTAATGAATTAAATTAATGTAATTACAAAATCCGATCTAATTTTCATGCTCATCAAATTAATTGACAGTTTAGCTGTCATTTCTGTCATCAAATTGTCATTGAATTTAAGAAAAAAATGTTTTTTGGGTAAATTGACAAATGAATAAAAAATTAAGTATTTAGATGAGATTTAAGGATTTGTTTAAATAATATTTCCAACTTTAGACAGGTTTCGCAAAAAACTCATTACATGGCTGAAAAAATTGTTGCTGTTGCGTACTTGATGAGCAATAAAGTAAATTTGTTGCCTATGGTCACCTATAGAACGTAAGTAATTTCTTGGGACAAAGTAACTAATAATTTAATACTTACCATGAACCTGTTACTGAGATTTATGTTCTTTTTTTTAGTTTTTGGCTTCACGTAATAAGGAATTTAGCCACAGTATGACTGCGGCAAAAAGTTCTTTTTTTTTACTGTTGAAATTACTGAAAATAATAATTTTACTTAGACGTAGACGTCTACGTTTTTTAAGGTTAATTTTCGTATAGTTTTGTTTGTATTCACTATTTTGCTTGACATCAATTCATATTAGATAAGAAATGTATAAATAAGTATACTAATAAATACTAAATAAAATAAACGATATTTAGTATCAAGACTAATTTTCAATACCTACCTTTTCGACTTAATTTCTATCAAAATGTTTATTATATGTTGTGTTACGATTATTTGTTTCCCAACCATTGACTTACAAATAAATGGACGACGGGTCTAATATAAAAACCACGAAAAAAATGTCCCAAGTCCACCTATTCGAAATTTAAATTGTAATGTCATCGCAGTATCGCGCTGTCAGTCGAACAAATGAAGACTAAAGCGGAGTTGGCGCTCTGTATACGATTTTAGCGCCTTACAAGTGCGGACACTTTTTAGCGCGGACCCGACGTCCATCTAATTGTAAGTCAATGTTCCCAACATTTAGATTTCGTGCAGCGTGCAAAGACTAAACTGGCCACGACTCCATGATTTGTACAAATGAGAAGTTATTTATTAGCGCTAATAGAGTTTAGGGTTCTCAAGACCATACGGACTTTACGAACATTGTCTATGCTACGATTGTAGATGGTTTCAGGCAATATAGGATCGTTGGTTTCAGTCAAATCATTTTCTCAGGTTCCTATTCCAGAACTGTACTCAATGCTCAAGTCAGGACTTGAGTATGATTTAAAGCACTAGAAATCATACTCATGTTCTTGCAATTTCCAGTGCTTGAAATCATACTCAAATCCTGACATACTCAATTCTCAAGTCAGGACTTGAGTATGATTTAAAGCATTGAAAATCATACTCAAATCCTTGCCATTAGGGTCGTATTTCCAGTGCGTGAAATCATACTCAAGTCCTAATTTGAGAATTGAGTAGAGTTCTGGAATACGACCCTCAGAGTTACTTCTGATTTTATTAAAGGTTTCTCACAACTGACATTGGCGTTTCATCATAATTTATTAAACAATTTTACAAAACGGACACTGTTGAAATCTTAAAGAAGGCACCGCCAGTAAAGAAGAAGAATAGTTACTTTTGTTACTTGTCAGAATTATAAAGAATAGTGTTGTCTTAAATCGGTCTTGATCTTACAGTGAAGTCTAGGTTTAGCATTTTTCAATATCAAGACCAGCCCTACAAGATTTCAGCAAGAACAAGACTGAGGGTGCGAGATTCCTGCGTCTAGCAGTTACTTTAAAACTCCATGTCCTTTTATTAATATTTACACGATTTATTTATATATTTATTGATGCAATAGGTATCACTCATAACCCGTTACCAAATTTCTCCCTCATTCCTTTTGTTTTCGACGCGGATACCTCTTGCATAGCGCATTGAGGAAAGCAACTAGGTAAGGGTCTGGTGGACTCGGCGATTCAGCATGGTAAGGTGGATAACCTAGAGCGACACATTATTTGAACTCTCCCTCAGTTGTAGCGGATTCCTGTTCCACTGACACGACATGAACACGGACGAGTGTATGGGCAAATTTGCATTTTCTGGATTCCGAATTTCTAGGAGTCGTCATGGTCGCCATAACAAAACATGGTCGGATAAGATATTATATAATATTGTTATCAAAACCTAGGTTTCATTTAACAATAAAAGTTGGATGGTTTTATAACACGAAAAACTATTGTGTCAAATGTATTTTTTTTACTCAACTGTAAAGATAAAAAAACCTGACTGAGTAAAAAACTTCCCTAGTTTTTTTATTCCAATAAATTAATGTAGCAAAATACAACTATCATCAGCGAAGGTACCGAATTATCAACAACAATGTACTTACACCTGAAATCGAAAAAGTAAATAATGAACCGGTACGGGCTGTATCCATTCCACACGCTAAATTAATATTATTTATTAGTCTTATGCGTGGATTTAGTGTATATGTTTAAAATTATAACCAACCAATATGTCCGTAAAAATATTGTAAATTATTTTCAAAGTTAATTTTTCGTCATTTGGTTGGCCTCCCTATACCTATGCCAATATGCACTCAAAATGTACTCAACGATATCTATGTACTTGAAGTTGGTGGTACCTATCTTTTGTTGCGTTGTTCTAAAATCTGAATCAAGGTGGATTCAACAAAGAATTTCAATTATTTTTGTAAGAATAATGTAGATTGATAAGTAACAACAGATAATTGTAAATCTTGCTAGACTCTAGCAAAAGATCGAAATCAAGACCAAGACTGAGTGTGCAATGCCAAAACCTGGTACATTAACGCGAGACCTACATTATGGGTCGTATTCCAGAACTACTCAATGCTCAAGTCAAGACTTGAGTATGATTTAAAGCACTAGATATCATATTCAAGTCCTTGCCATTAGGGTCGTATCATACTCAAGTCCTGACTTGAGCATTGAGTAGAGTCTCTGGAATACGACCATAAGAATGGGTTAGTCTCGTCTTGGTCTTACATTGGGCATCACTCGTCAAGACCGTTGTGGAATAAATGTAATTCCTATATCAACCATTCGGTGGTACACGGGCAAGATGCGGAACGGGAGACAGTGAAAAAGTATTATTTACTTTATTATCTCTGATGTTTAATCTGAATTTCATTAGGTAACTACTTATTAGTAACGTTCGTACTTATTACTACTACGGGAATATTAATTACCTACCGTAAGATTTTGCCTGTTCCTCTGTAATCACGACAGCATAATGTTAACTCAACATCTAAAGATTAAAGGCGTATCAGGTCCCAATGGCGTGTCATTGGTGCTTATCATGATCGATATTTTTGGCGCGACGACATGAATATCATACGATCGCGTAAAATTGGGCATCCAGTTGATAAGTGTTGGACATCAGATATATCAAAATAGTAGAAATGTAAACCCACTGCGTTTGTAACAACCGTCGAGACCTGCTTAAAAATGGAAACCCCTACGTGGAATACTCGTCCATACTTTGAACCACATAGGTATTAATTTGATAAAAAAAAGTGTGTCTAATTAATGTATTGGAACATTGCAATCACTAGCTACCTTATTACATACTTACATAATAAACTAGATACCTTCAGTAATTATGTAGAATGGCCATCAATGCAGATATAGCTAGAAATAGTCGTGTTAGCACTCAGTAACAATTGGTAACGGTTTATTCCAAGGTTAATCCTTATGTCTAGGACAAGCACGCGACATTGTGCCGTGACACTCTAAGGCTTCTGTGTACCGCGTCAGTACTAGTTAAATCACTGACAATTGTGTGTACGAGCAAATCGATGTTTAGTAACAAAATAATTTGTTTGAAAATAAAAAACTGTACGATGCTTATGCTTGAGCTAACAATCCTTTAAAGCTGCTGGTAGTAAGATTTTATTGTATTTGAATTATTATACTTATTCGTTATCAAGTTGTTATAGTTCCACAACCGGAACTCATAGATAAATAATCATTATTTCGGAACCAGGTCCAAAGATTGTTAGTAAATTATATTAAATATTAAATAAATAATACGAATATATACACATCTTTTTATATTAAACCTTTATATACTACGGATGTCCAGAGCGCCAGAGATGGTTCCACGACTCTCAAATGTTAGTTGTCTAGGATCAGGTTCTACCGGCACAAATAGTTTCTATGAATTCAAGATGGCCGCCATACAAAATTGACTTTCGACGAAGATTGAATTTCCTGAATGTTCGCTATTATCAACGATAATACGAGTGACTTTTTTCAGATATATAAGGATACGCATTGACGCGATCATACCCTGCTAACTCCCACAAAAACCCAACGAGTTACAAATCGCAAAGAAAGCTCTCGCGAGCCGCTTTAGCGCGGCGCAACGCGCGCCGTCTAATATTATTATACCAATGGTTTCATAAAGTATCATAGTAGTCGTAGTAATGCCTTAGTAACGAAGCATTGACAACATTAATATACAATAGTACAATTGGTGTTATTGTCAATGACACTCTTTTTTGTAGACTAGTACAATAGTCTCTGTAAAATGGTTGGCAAAGTGTTTAACTTTGTAAAAAATATATAGTAAATATTAACTCCGTAGGCAAAATTGAGAAACTGAGAATATAATACTTATACGAAACTAAGCCTTAGAATTATAATAATATTCAAAATAAAGAAAAGTATAATGCAAGTTATAAGAAAATAAACAAAATTAATTTAAAAATTTATTTTTTTCTATCCCAGTCCTATATAAAACTTATACTTAATACAAGATTTTTATCACAATCTCATTAACAATATTAACAAGTACTTAAAGGTATAAAATATAACACAACAGTGATATGTGGATTTTATGCAATAGACCGAAATTTAAAGCACATGAGAAGACACACGGTCAATAACTTTACTAAAAACAAAACAGAGTTTAATGTGTAAATTGTTAAACCAGTTATATACATAAACATACCTAGTCATGTACCTACAAATTAGTAAATAATAGATTTGTGATGAGTGTATGGAAATATTTTTGGTCTTTGTTTTTGTGATTTTAGCTTTTTTCCTTATACATAATTCGTAAATAAAAATAAAGAGATATAACGTACATACCGTTTTCAAAAAAGTAATTAAGTACAATATACACTCAGAAAAACTTTTGTTGGCTGACAACCGATAGAGGTTAAAAGTTTCATAGGTTTCTCACAAGTGGCGCTGTGGCAAAAAAGCCATTAAAACCAGAAAAAAAAGACTTGTAACAATAAGAAATTTATCGTTTGGTGAAAAAGTAGCTGATTTGAGTCCAGCCGGCTCGAAGGAAATTTTCTTTCTTTCTTTTTTGATTTGATTTGATTTGATTCATTTTTAAAATATTATGAATATGATGGTAGTAAAACACCACGATATTCAATAAAATAATAAATTTATAGAGGTGTTAAATTCCTATAACAAACTTTAAATTGTCATATTGCTACAAAGTGCTTATCATTTTGTAGTCCCATGACAATAAAAGCAGTCAGGGTATAGATTTGTGTTATTCATGGCTATAACACAATGATATTCCACGCGGAAACCGTTTAATTTTGATTCCAATTAATGAAAATTGAACTGAAAATGATTACAATGCTAAATGTGTCCCTACAAGCCCAAATCTACAAGCCCAGTTTGTTAGCAAGACTTTGATATTGTTTTTTGTTTTGATATCTAAAGTTTATTATAGGAACTAAACACCACTATCGACTCACAGAGAACAAAGTTTTTCTGTGTACTTGTTAATAATAATTAACAGTCATCTTGGGACTATTCAGACTCTTCATATTAGAGCTTACGAAATATTTGTTTACATTTCACATATTCATTTATAGTCTTATTTTATATAATGCATTGCATGCATTTTACTGTATATTTTATATGTATTAGAGCATCATGATTTACTTAATATTATGTATTAGTGTGTACATTTGACATAATAAATTTGTTCTTATAATTATTGAGTCTGTAACATTAAATTTCATGATAATTGTTAGTTTTTATTGCCGACACAGGAGCCAACTTTCTGTTAAATTTTTCAAAGGTTAGCTGGATGAAATCCCTTTATGGGATAAGCTCGCCGTTGTACAATAACATTTTATTTCTTTGTAAAAAAATTATTTGTCTTTGTTATACAATAAAGTGTTTACATACATACATAATTCTTGATGTGACATATTTTGATTTGTGCTAAGAATTACCTGTTTCTTTTCGTTGTCTTCAACTTGCTAAAGGCATCTACGTAGGTAATATTGAGAGAAAAAAAAAAATTTGCTATTTCCCATTGTGAGTTTATCGATACTTTATACATGTTCACTGTAGCGTAGAGAGCTACACTATCTTCCTTGTCATAACAAACGCATTTACATTTTGGTAATTTTGGAGATATTGGCACCGAAATTTTTTTTTACTTGAAAAATATCAAGTACGCTGGTTTGCTTAACAATAAAACTGAAACTAAATAAGATATAAAAAACCGCTTATAGGGGGTTGTTGATCTCGTTTTGCTAATTCCAGATAATGTTAATAACTCAATTAGGCTAGAAATGTCGAGTACGTTTAGTTATGATAAGGAGGCTAGTACACTTATTCGAACTAAATACTTAAAACAATATTATGTAGTCTTAATACTATTGATAACTTCTTGATTAGGGGGTACCCAGCCTCCGAACGCTTTTTCGAATTCCTTTGCAACGGCAATGGTCAAATGATCGCTGCATTTATTTCCCACAATCTGTATTCCTACTGGCAGTCCCTTATTAGTCACTCCTAGGGGACATGCAGTTACTGGGAGGCCAAGAGCGTTGAATATTGTAAGATATCCACAATTTAGGAATCTGTAGTACACTCTGTAGTGTATGTGAGCTGGGTACGGATACGTTGGAAATAATAATACTGTATCTCCTGATAGGGCTTTCTGTAAAAAAAAAAGAATTGAATCGTGCATAAGCTCTATATCAAGAGACGACAGTACGAACAAAATCGTGCACTTGGTGGTTAGCGACACACCTGTCCATAGCAGTGACAGTCTGAGTTTTAAATCGCAAAGGTCTGTGAGACACCTCTACTACACCAGAGACATAAGTTGATAGTCTCTTGTGCTTGTAATTTCACCAGCACTCTTAAACCGGAACAGTAATGATCTCATTACAGAAATAGGCAAGTAGTACTTCACAGGACGAACTCTATCCCAAGGAACTCTACTGCTATATTACATTTTACTATATTTTGTAAAATGGTATTACGACGGGATGAAGAACTGTAATATGTAGAGTCAACTGGTAATAAGCAGCTTTTAGACTGCTGTAAAGACGTTCTCGAACGTTCACAATATAATAAGATATTTATTCATAAGTACAAATTTACAAGAAAAAAGTTTCATAAACGTACAGTTTCGTAAATGTAGTAGAATCTAGTGCTAATGAAAATTAAGGAGTGTATTATTTTATTAGCAGTAGAGCTCCTTGTGAAAGAGTTCGTCCAGGGTAGTACTGCCACCTTACCTATCTCTGCCGCCTTGCAGTAATATCTGCATTACTGTGTTCCGGTTTTAAAGGGTAAGAGTGCTGGTGAAATTACAGGCACATGGAACGTGTCAATTTACGTCTCAGGGTGACGGGCGCAGTGGCAGTGCCCCTCAGATCTTTATGTAATTGTCATACACAGGCATGTAGTTTACCATCAGCCTCACGACTTGATCGTCCCGTCCACAGACCACATTCCGTCACTTGATGTTATAAAAAGAAATGGAGACTCAGTATCACATGCTGCTTTTCAGGTTAAACCTTGTTACTTGGAATTTCGCTGCAGGCTATGACCACTGACTCACGAGGACTGCTAATCGCAATACAGGACAGAGTAGTTGAGTACTTAGTACCTATTTTTACACCAGATGTCGTACGAGTACCAAATAGCTATCTTTGTAGGTAATAAACATTGACATTAATTAATTTGTTTTACATTGACAAGCTGCAATTTATCAAAGCTACCATAATTTCTAGTGATAACAAACAAAGTAACTAGATGGCGCTTATTGCATAGATTTTTACAGATATTGCCAGCTATTCTTTTATTTTGTTTATCTACACACATAATCACAAACCCTCTATGATGTGTTAAAAAACCGCAAATTACGTACGACCAGTTTTAGAGATAAACTGTTATGTTAGATCAAATTTCTTATCTGTGATAATGTTATTATTGTTTAATAATAACATCGATTTCGATTTTATTATTCCATTTAAATTTCGAACATCTCTGAAAAACAAAACAATTTGATTCGACCTCAATTCTAATATCAGTCGAGATGAAGTTTTATTCGAAATGAAATGTCATTAGCAAACCATTTTGGCAAATTTCACACGTTACTTGACATCGAACGATATGATAGTTGGGGCCGACTCTAGCTTGTCTATGGATTAAATAAATACTACGGTTGTGTGACATGCGTGAGAAAAGTTTTTAATTGCCGCCATTTCACCAGCCGTAACATGCTGTTGCTAAACATATCATCACAAAGCTTATAATATGTGTATAGATTATAGCAGTGTATGTAACTGAACATAATTAGGCATTAAAACACTCCTGTGAGGTTTTAATGCCTTTCATTATGTAACAGTCACATAAACTACTATTAGGATTAGCGTTATCTACCCGTATTAGAAAGCGTTTGTTTATAAATTAGTTTGTAACTCATAATGCCATCTATTGACATGCATATTTGTCAAAATTCTGAAAACAATTTTAGCTCATAATTAATATTTGAATAATATTACAAGTAAAAAAAACTGACCTCTTATATTTCATATTAAAGAGGAATTAATTGATATCCTCGGCCATTTTCGTAATAATAACTACTGCCAGGCAATTGATCAGCGCCATCTACATACAAGACAGAATGCTGACCTTTTTCAGAGGTATGCTCTCTGTCGTATGGAGAATATTATAATTATTAGGAACATTGACTTACAATTATATGGACGTCGGGTCCGCGCTAAAAAGTGTCCGCACTTGTAAGGCGCTAAAATCGTATACAGAGCGCGACACTCCGCTTTAGTCTTCATTTGTTCTACTGATAGCGCGATACTGCGATGACATTACAATTTAAATTTCGAATAGGTTGACTTGGGACATTTTTTTCGTGGTTTTTGTATTAGACCCGTCGTCCATTTATTTCTAAGTCAATGATTAGGAATGAAATATAATCATATTTTATCGTCGACGACTCTACAAGTTGGCGTCGGCGTTCATGGTTATTTTAAATACGCCCAGTCCTTTTGAAATGCAAAAATTTTAATTCTTATTCGTATTGAGTAAGTATTTAGTATGCTTACCTCAAAATCAGTCTTAACTTGTTCAAACATTTTAAGTAGATTGTCATAATAACTCTTTGGTAACGCATCGAAGAATTTCTGCAATGGTCCATACACAACTCCAGTGAAACTGTGTGTCGACATTCCGAACATTTTCTTCAGCAATTCTGGCCATACTGACACCCACTGGTCACGTTTTTCTGGGTGTGTGTAAATGTTGCGAACATGTCTTACGTTCATTAGAACCCTGATGCTGATTTCCCACATATGTTCGATGTTCTGTATATTGAGCTAGAAGGATAAAAAGAAAATGTTTATAATATGAATTAAAAGTCTGTGTTGTGTATTTTTATGTGATTATACAAGCAGTATTTCGCCACCCAGGACCTTAAATGGCACTGGTGTAATCCATTCGGACTAAAACGAGAAGTAAATTTGCAGACAAGGGTAGCGTCCGGACATGCTACGGTAATTGGAGAACATGGGTTTGGATAATAAAATAAGTATGACAATTAAGTACCTGAGCAAAAATCTTAAAAATACTTTAGATAAATGTATACACTACAAAAAAAATCTGATTCTGCCTACTGTTATACAGAGACGGGAAAGGCCCGCACAGTTAGATAGGGTACGGAGGGCAGAATTAAACATTTTTAATTTGTGAGTCATATTTTAGAGCTAAAGTGATTGCTTATTAAGTATGCTTATTAGTTGTGTCGTGGTAAGTATTTATAAATAGTAGGTAGTTGTATTTCAGGTGAATTGTCCAAGTAAATAATAAATTTATTTATTTTCTCCACAAAATTCTATCTACATATACATATGCCTCTAGACAAGGCTCCCTTACTCTCCCCTAGGTATAATAAGATATCGTTTGATAGTAAAAATTTACCAATCACGAGATTTAAAACTATAGTGAAACAAAATACAGTTTCTGCGTTCTTGGATGACCTTGCAGGTAATCTCGATCTATAATGTTTGAAATAAATAATGTAAATGATAAATGTGTAACAACGTATATTTACAAAAAGCAAACCCAAGAGTTTCTCGCTGATTCTCCTGGAATCTGCCTTACATATTATGAGCAGTACAGTTTAATCAAAATGACGATTTCAAGTGTAATTTATTTGCTATGAAATAAAGATATAGCATTTGACTACACAGCTGTACTAAAAAGGGAGCCTAAAACTGTACAAAAATAATGTAGAAAAAAAAATGCTTTTTGGAAAGAGCATAGTTTTTTTATGGTTTCAAATTCACCAACAGTCATTCCAAGTAAATACGCAACGAAGAAAACATGTTAGCACTTAGACGAATTTTCAAAAGTTTTAGAACAAAGTTTGTTTTTATTCTATAATAAGACCTCAGAGTATTATTGTACGTCTTTGTTACAGTCTAATTCATTGATGATGACATTGTGAAAATTCATTAAGTTGTATTAGTTAGTAAATTAATTTTATTTGATGTTATAAAAAAAGAAAAGAAAATTAAGCTTCTTATTGTAGATAAAATATCTCTGTTGACTAGCCAAGAAACATTTCTCATATTTCTCTTAAAAATCAACTTAATGTTCAGATATATTTTATACAAACCTCTTCAACCTCCACATTGAAACTATCTTTAATATGTTTTCTGGCTTTATCCATCGCCTTCCTGACGTCAGAGCCAATTTTGTGGGTAACTTTGCTGTTGTCGCCAGTCATATAGTAAAATTTTAGTTTCGATACATCCACCTATAATTTCAAAATAATTACAATCTGCTTTAGATTCCTGCTGTATTATACTTTTGTTTTTGTACAGGGCCAAGAATACGTGAAATTTGACACTAAAAATGAAAATTGAACTTTATTAGGTACACTTATGATTAGAACGGTCCAAAGTGTCTAGTTTGGCATACTTGACATAATACATAAGAAGGGCGCGTTCCCATTATGTTGTAACGTTTATTTTATCATTGAACGACTGTCGTGTCTAGTTGTTCCCACTGGATCGTGACGACAATTTATCTGTTCACGACAGCCGTCTTGTCGTTTGCACGACAGAATCGTTTCAAGCCGCGATTATCTGTCGTCACATTTTTATCGGACGTTTTATTTATCGTCGCACGACTGTTGTTCTAGGTCTTCGTCGTAACGTCAAAAAAGTCGGGAATGACAGTTAATCGTGTTTTGCTATATGTGACAAACTTCATTTAAATATACAAGGCACGACACTTTAAGCTGCACGACTATCTGTCATTACGACATAATGGGAACACGCCCTGAGGCTACATGTCTACGAATACAATAATCGCATCAGTCATGAATACATACAGTTCACTAAAAGAATAATTGACTTTAATATAGAATATAGAATTACTACGCACAGGGTGATACTAACATCGATTTAGACTAAGTTTTAATTTAATTTTAATATAAATTCAGGGCTTCTGTCTCTTTTATTTTCACCAAGAAAAGGACAACCAATTTAATTTTATTTTGGACTTGTCAAATTTTCACAGCTCCTTATAAATTAGGTCGTCATATAAATCGTGTACAGTCGCCGAAAAATAATGAACACAAAGAAAAATTCAAAAAATTTGAAAAAAATACCGTTTAAACGCAAAAACAAAGATCTGCAACAAGCACATAATAATATAGAAAATGGTAAGGTCTGCTACCTCGTTCCGTAGCTCAGTTAGGAGAGCGGATGCCCCGGTTTGGCATAGTCGCTGGTTCGAAATTAGCCAGATCGAAGGAATTTTTCTTGGTGTTAACAAACCATCTTTGTTGCAAAAGCTCTATTGACGCTAAAAGCCTTTTAAAGACGTGAGAATAAAGTCATCTGCAAGTTTAATTAAATAAAGCAAGTTTCCTTCCCGACTGTAGTCGAGACGATGTATCGACGCTTAACATTAAGTAATTACTGTGCTCACATGTTTGCCCATACTAAAAAAAAAACCATTTAGAAGCGGAATTACGTACTGGTTTGTCAAGGGGCACATCAGGTCCACCTGGCTGTTTAAGAACCTTTAAAAGTAACGTTAGATCTTCCGCGTATCGAGTGATGGGACCCAACGCGAAGTATTCTTCAAAGTTTGGATCCAGACAGTCGGGGACATGTCCTGAAAATTAGTGACAAAGAAATTGAATTAGTCATTATGGCCATTTGAAATTGTGGGTTAGCACAAAATAATCATGTTTAAATTATGTTCATCATGAATATTTTACTTAAGTAATTTTAAAAATTCAATTCGTAAAAATACACATGACGTTCCTGGACACTAAATATTTCTACAAACACGACCAAAATGAAACTGGATTTGCTTTCTATAATTGCCGAGGTCTCTCAATTATTATTGTAAATAGCTGTTCATATCAGGGCAGAATCTTGCTTTAAAAATCTCTCTGAACTTTAAGGGTTACTCTGTATAGCTCTCAGGGAACTACGTCTTGACATTGACGGGAATCAAATCCAGGTTTTTAAACTTTTGAGTTGCATTATACTACTTAATGTTTGAAAACGGGAATAAAGGCGTTTAAACACTTATAGGTATTTTCACATCAACCTTTTTTTTTATAATATCAAGTGACGGGACGAACAAGTCGCGCGCCCGGTGGTAAACTACAAACCTGTCCATAACAGTTGCAGTGCCATTCAGAGCTTTAAATCGCGGAGATCTGAAGAATCTGCCACTGCGCCCGTCACCCTGAGACACAAGTTGACAAGTCCCATATGCCTGTAAATTCACCAGCACCCTTACCCTTCAGAACCGGAACACAGTAATATTGACATTACTGCTTGGCGCCAGAAATACTGTCATCTTATGACAGTACTTCCCGGGACGAACTCTTTCACAAGGAGCTCTACTGCTACTACCTGAAAATTGGTCGGCGTGGAAATACCTATTAGCGTATAAATTTATTATTATTAATTTATAAAAAAAAGCGCGTTTATTATTATTAATTTCCCGACAAATCGACGAGCCCAACTTGAAAATAGGTAATTAGAAAGTTTTTAAACTTTTTTTTTGTGCCGGTTACGTGTGCAATCGTTACAACATGGAGAAATATGAGATAAAAGCAGTCGCATGACTACTCTTCATAAAATAAATTTAGAAAGTTATCTACCTTCGACAGATAAAAGCCTTGGCGTGGGCTTGTGTCCAAAAATGCCTGTGAACATTGGGGGCAGGCGTAATGAACCAGCGATATCTGATCCAACCCCCATTATTGATGCTGCTGACGAAATCAACGCGGCCTGAAATTTATAAGAGAAAGTATTTTAATGATTGATTTACCACCATCTATCTGTGTACAAGTAGAGGGTGTTACTTTGTAAAGGAACAGCTAGGAAAGTATTATTAACAACGCGTGTTAAAGAACAACTTAAACTTGTTGTTCTATGACCTTTGCAGCTGCAGTGTTTGACAAAAAATCATCGAAAATTAAACGTTCTTTTATTAAGAAGAAGAAGATTTATTTGAATTATATGAATAACTATTATAAGTGTTACAGGCCATAAAATATCAGTTGGAACATCTTAGTGCCGTGCTTGAATCTACGTAATAGTTTTGTTTATAAGGGAACGGAGAATCCGATCACTGCTGACGTTAAGTTTTAATCAAGTAACAGGTTAAACAAATCTTGCGCCGGATGGTAACACGCCTGTCCGTAAGCCCGAGCCCAACACCCTGAGACAAAAGTTGACAAGTCCCATGTGCCTGTAATTTCACCAAAATATTTTTGGTGTTAGCCGAGACCTTAACAAATGAATTCAAATTAATTTTCAGGACGTTTGGATTTTATTGAAACAGGAGGTGTTAAGAATGGTGCTTGAAAAGAGGAGTTTATTGAATAGAGAATAGAGAACCGAAGGAGAAAGATGTTTGGGCGTCTGATACGTCACGACAGTTTTGTTAGACGCGTTATAGAAGAGAAAATCGAAGGAAAAAGAGGCAGACGACGAAATGATTTAGATTAGATAAGGGAGAAAGTAAATGTCGTGTCGTATCAGAAAATTAAAGTTAGGGAGCTGAACACAGACGTTTAGCGATGACAACACCGACAAGAGCCTAGCTTAAATTTTCTTATTTAAATTAGCTTTAAATTTTTTGGTTTTTGTTTGAATGTCCAAAATTTGTAAAGCAATGAGCTATTTACTATACTACCGTCCCTGTCCCTGTTTTCTTCTTAAAGTTGTGCTAATAGTTTCATTGTTTTATTAAATAAATAAATAGTAGATAACATCTACTATTTAATATAATAAAATATAATTAGATAACTCTGATCTCAAAGTAAGTAACTAAAGCACTTGTAGGGAAATCGGAAACAATGGTACTACTTACTCCCAGACCCGAGACAGTCCAGAAAAGTTATTTTTCTACATTGACTCGGTTGGGGATCGAACCCGCGACCACAGAGATGGTGACACCTTGAAAACTGGTGTGCAAGCTAGTCGACCACAGAGGTCGTCGTAATTAAGACGAAGTTGTGTATATATCCTACGTAGGATCGTTCATTTTGTTAAAAGCCATTCGCTTTACAACATTACCCGAGCTGGTAAAAAGTTGCATTACCTCTCCACCAGAGGATCCCCCAGTAGTTCTTTTCGGATCATAAGGATTCATTGTGAGCCCTGTGACATTATTGTATGTCTCCCAGTTCATACACAACTGAGGAGTATTGGTAACAGCAATAGGAATAGCTCCAGCAGCTCTTGCTAATCTGATGATTGCCGCATCTTGCTTCGCTGGATTTCTGTATGAGTGTACTGTCCCACAATCGTTGCTCATTCCTGGAATATAAATTAAGAATATAGACATACTGAAATTGCGCATTGTGACGGAATGTTCCTAGTTTGAAAAACGATTCTATATAAACACGTAGCAAAAAATCTATTCTCAACTCGTCACGCGTGGTAAAGACACACGGTCTCCCTAACAAAAATACTGTAATGCCCTAACGCGTAGCTGTGTGTATATCCACCATGAAAAAAAATATTAAAATAAAATTAAAAACAATAACTTTTGTATGATATATAAGATAATGATTTTTTTTCCAAAATCTTCAGGGACACCGTGTGTGCAAAAGTCTGCATAAAACTGGCAGCATTACGGCGCGAATTGGCCAACGACATTTGTTGCACTAAGTAAGATCCAGAAAGTCAAAATCAAAGTCAAAGACAACGACAAAGGCAAAGGCAAAGGCAAAGGCAAAGGCAAAGGCAATGGCAAAGGCAAAGGCAAAGGCAAAGGCAAAGGCAAAGGCAAAGGCAAAGGCAAAGGCAAAGGCAAAGGCAAAGGCAAAGGCAAAGGCAAAGGCAGGGTCAAAGTCAAAGTAAAAAAAGTAAAATAATCTTTGTTATAATTATCAACACAAAGATCAAAACACTCAAAAAAAATTCCTTCGATCCGGCCTGATTCGAACCGACGTCTTCTAGCATACCGTGCCAGACGCTATACCAACTAAGCCACGGAACGAACCAGCGGACCTCACGAATTTTTCTATGTGTTTGTTGTCGTGTGTTCGTATTTGCTTTTTTCAACGACTTTTCAGGCGTAGCAACACAACACAGAAAAATTCGTAAGGTCCGCTGGTTCGTTCCCTTGAGAAGAAACTTTAGTAGCAGTAGAGCTCCTTGTGAAAGAGTTTGTCCCGGGTAGCACTGCCAACTTACCTATTTCTACCGCCAAACAGTAATGTCAGTAATACTGTGTTCCGGTTTTGAAAGGTAAGGTCTAGGTGAAATTACAGGCACATGGGACTTATCAACTTATGTCTCAAGGTGACGGGCACAGTGGTTGTGCCCCTCAGATCTTTCAGTAACTCTAGGGTTTACTCTTCGTAAATAAACATTTATCATTTACAATAGTTATTTGAAATATCATAGATCGAGACAACTTACTAGTGCTAAGCGGGTCACTTCAATGGATTTTTGTCTTCCAAGTAGGTAGGTACGCAGAAACTGTATAAATAACCTTTAGTGTAAAGTTTTTGTGTCGCTATAGTTTTAAAACTCGTAAATGGTAACTTTTGAATATCAGCCGAATATAGAAGCATATACATTGCCGCTTATGAATTTATAACTTTGTAAAAACGACTGTTAAGGATAGCCAGTTTATTTTTATTCCTCGCATCAATGTCACGTTAATCACTGTTCTTCTTTAAAATATTACTGTTTTACCTAAGCTAAATTAAATTTACATAAATTTACTATGATATTAGTGCAGGAACGTTAATTTTTACAAGGCGTAACTCTATGCCGCTTAAAATAAGATCGGGTCAAAGTCCAAAGTATCAAGCCTGATACGCTCTTGAGTGTATAACGGAAGCTGAAGGCGGTATAGTACATGCAGTCAACTACACGCTCAGTTCGAATAGACTTTACAGCACTCATGATAAGAACGATTCAAAGTCCAAAGTGTAAAGCTGAGTAATGCTGTTGGCTGTGTCTGCATTAATTTAGCGAACGTCGTTTGTTTTTAACCGACTTCAAAAAAAGGAGGAGGTTCTCAATTCGACTGTATGTATTTTTCTTGTATGTAAGTTATGCGATAACTCCGGTATTTGTGAACCAATTTTCATGATTCTTGGAAAGAGGGTACCTCCATAGTGGTCCCATTTCATTTTGAAGAAAATCATCCACCTCTAAGGGTGGCTGATCACGCATGAACATTCATTTTTATAAATAGCGCCTAAATTTTACTTATGGAGCAATTATTTTAATGGTTGGTTTTGCTATTCTCCAATTCAAGGCTTCCTGTATAGTCGCGAATTAGGGGATATTTCAATAAAACTTGGCAAAGAGATGTACTTCCACGTACTTTCGAGGTTGGTTTTTTTAGTACTCTGTACTGAGATTATTATATGTATAAAGTTAAGTTATAATCTTAGACCTTCAAATAGTGGCGCTAGTGTTGATGTTTGACGTAGTTTAGCTAGCAAAGGCAAAGTGAATTTAATTTAGATTTAGCCCTTCATCTTTTTCTTCCACATAAGCTTAGACTATTCCACATAAACTTAGACGGAATATTTTTACTCGTGATGACTAAGTTTTGAGGCAATGTCAAGTTATGATGATTTTAAAATGAAATTAAATCTGTCCGTTTTTTAGTGAAAACGAAAGTGACAGAATGCACTAAATTTAAATTAAACGGTATGCGTTAGTCCGAATCGATTAAATATCCAATTACACAACAAATTTGGCGCTTGTCTCATTTGTAGAAACACAGGTTATTATAGATGTTGTCAGTAACAAAATAAGTTTTTTTTTATAATATCAAGTGATGGGACGAAGAAGTCGTGTACCTGATGGTAAGCTACACGCCTGTCCATAACAGTTGCAGTGCCACAAATTTCTCATTCAAATCACAAAAGTCTGAGGAGCGTTGCTACAGCGCCCGTCACCGAGATATAAGTTGACAATTCTTGTGTGCCTGTAATTTCACCAGCACCCTTACCCTTCATAAACAAAACGCAGTAATGCTCACATTGCTACTTGGCTAAAACAATTCCTTGAAATCATTGACCACGCGTGAAATATTGTTAAATAAAAAATGTGTCCTTGTATAAATATAGTCAATCATTATAACAGCATAGAGTGGGTTGTAGTTCCAATGCAGTAGTTACTGATTTGCACTCAAATGTTCGTGCAACGGAAGCTCCAACGGCTTATTAAAGTACGGCCAGTTACATTTAAACTCTAGCATATTGGCGCTAGTGTCCCTTTCCAATATTAATGTTCATATTCTTAATAGCATAAATTATTTCTTTAAAATTCCGCGTCATAGTGAACGTCCAAATACGATTGGTTAACATTTGAAAGAGATCTTTAATGTGAAGGTTTTAGGAACGCCTCAAGATCGCAGTCAGGCGGTGCCACGCTGCGATGCATTAAAACGAACCATACAGCATAAACTTTATCTTCTACAACATAAGGTTAATGTTTTTTTAAATAAAAAATTTAGATGAAAAAAGCAGCAAGGCGCACTTTATAAATTGCAATGTATTATTATAGTACATTGCATTTTATAAAGCGCATGTACTCTACTGAATATAGTATATATATATTACATTTCTTCTAATAAAAGAGTAAAGCCGTGCTGCGATGTGCTGCGACGCAAAGTCACGTCGTCTGGTCACAGCAATTTGAGATGACCTCTTTGAGTAAATTTGTACACTTACCTTCAACGGCAATACTTTCTTTTACAGTCATAGGCAAACCAAGCAATGGATATTCCTTAGCCAGATCATCCGGTGACCTGTCATTAGACGATATCATTTTATCAATGACCCTGGCTTCTTTTAATGCCACCTCGTACCGGGGTTCGACTATAGCATTTAGATACGGATTTGCTTCTTTACACCGCTCTATGTACGCTGCTACAACTTCCTCGGATGTTATCTGAAAGAAAATAATAAAGTTAAAAAATTCTATTGTAAGTAAGAGGTTAATAAAAAAAGCAGCATGTGGTTTTTGTACCTATACAGCGACAGAATTATCTACGTCATCTGATATCGAATCCACAAAACATGCATGCATTTTCATTCGTTTCCGAATGTAGAAAAAATAAGAGTTTGTGGCATCTGAACCCGGTGTCGATTTAAAGTTGCAACGGCACCCGACCGAGCCCAAATCCGAGTATCGTGTGATCCCGGGACTGGTTGCTTGTCAAAAATAATTAAATTTGAGTGGCATCCATCAATCCATCCGAATTCAGTAGCTCCTCGAGAGATGATATTAAGTTTGTATCGTCTGAATCCAAATTCATTTTCGATAGATGTTGGTCCATTTTTATGCTTTAAGGGATGATGAGCTTGTTTCCTAAAAACTAATTCGAAGTGCCGAATGGGACAATGATTTTTTACTAATTTCGAAGTCAATGACTGAGATTGAAACCGGGCCTTGAATTACAGTAATTTCATGCACGCAAAGAATAAGATATATTCTAATTGTATTTTTAAACTGCGGCCCACTGTTCTGCAAGGTTAATTTTTTTTAATATAATTATTTATGGATAATTCGAATTATGTAAATTTTGAATCTGTCATAAAGATTATGTCAAGCACCGTCGTGTAAAGAAGTCTGCAGTCTGCCCACGTCATGGATATTTTTTTTATGATACCAAGTAACGGGACGAACAAGTCATGCATCTGGTGATAAGTGACACGCCCGTCCATAATAGTTGCAGTGCCGCTCTATATATTAGATGGCTTGTACAACTGTATTCTACACGGTACTGGCAGAATACCAGAGTCGTGGAAAACTGTGGCATTTATGCTGTGCCTGCGCCTTATCACTGCCATGATTTCCAAAGCTATTTACTTTAATTAGTTATATGTGTAGTTATACGTTCCTTCTGTTATGAAATTTGTTATTGTTATTCAATATAATTGTGGTTCAATATAATAATAACTATGGTGTTCGATTTAGTGGATTCTATGTAAATAAGCTGTCATAGAAGTGAATAAAGTTTTTATCCATCTATCTTCTACTGGTTAATATTTTTTATTTAATTTTTCTGATTTCCTTTTCATTCGTCAATTTAATCTAGTAAAAGATATTTTCATATTATTAAAATATTTTCGAATAAAAAGTTAAAAGTAAGGTAGGTAAATTAATCATTTTGTAATAATTATAGTTCAGAATATAGCGGTTTGCATTAATAATACATATTAACTGGTTGCCAATCAACACCATCTTCGTTGGCCTTGACCCTACCACCTGCAATTAAATATGCAAAAAAAAAAGAGTTCGAAACATTGATTTTGTTTGAAAAAACAAATAAACTCGATTTAGATAAAAAAAAATACTTTCATTTCAAATACATTTAAAGGTTGAGTAATGTCACAAATAACAGGATTTGATAGAAAAACAAAATAAGAATGCTTTTCTTATTATGCTAAATTAAGAATCCGCAATTTGATGTAGTTAAACAAAAAAGATCCAATACATATCCAGGAATATAGCAGTTTGAAGTTTAAAAAAGTTTCTCACTCCTGTTTTATTTTCAAAAATTTTAATGTCTGTAACTCCAAACATATTTATTTATGTTTATATGTTGGATTTTTTTGCTGATCTAAGAGGTTAGACTTTGGGAACCGTTTCGTACACATAACTTATTTTTTTATTATTTGTCCAATTTACAACGTAAAATTAAAGCAATTTTGTAATAATAATAATAATAATAATAATAATAATAATTTAAACGATACTAAAATCGTTTAAAAGCTTTCAGTCAATTACCTAGCAGTCACTAAATAAAAAATTCAGCTTTACTCAGCCTTTATTGAAACAAAAATGGACAAAATGCAAATTTGATATATTTCGTGACAATGCAGATACGATTGAAAATTTAAGAAATTGAAACAGTTTAAGAATGATTAAATCAAAGTGAAATAAATTTTTAAAAGTTTTATAAGTAATGTTAACGAAATTTACAAGAAAGCAAAATAAACTTCGTACCACTCGAGAACTGTATTTGTAAGTAGGAAATTAAAACAAATGAATGAAAAAAAATGACGATCGACTGATTTTTAGTTTCAAATTAGACGTGAAATAAAAAGGTATAATAAGGATTCGCTCTGGACCTTTTGGAGGGAAAAGTGTCGTTTTTATTTTGACTTTCAATTATTTTGTGAAATCTAGTTTAAAGTGGAATAGGATAGTGCTATTGTGCCTTAATCGAAGATTAAAACGCGAAATTATACGAATCTCGAA